GTCCATGTCTTCCATTCGGCTTCCGGAGCATAATCCCTCTTTGTCACCTATATTAACATGAAAAAACTCGGTAAACATCATATTTGGTACATAGTACTAGACAGTATTGAACTGTACAATAAACGCTTCTTCACTTACCGCCTTAGCGTAGGGGTTGCGAGGAGGTGCAATGTATCGGTTGCCTTGGCTAATAATGGTAGGGTGTTGGCTTCCACCAATGGCGTACATGTTCCAATGAGTGTAGTCGTTGTTAACGACATGGATGTACCCATAACGGCACCTTGGCATTCTCTGTACCAATCTCTTGCCAAAATGGTTGAAAGCAACTGTAATTTGCATCTTCTCGTCCTGAGAGTAGCTATTGCTTGCACCAAAAAGCATCACCTGAAACAAGATGTTCGGTTAGCATCTAAAAGCTGAAACGTTAGTTACTATACTATAAAATGTTGATTTACCTCGTTATGATCGGTGAAGTGTGCGTTGGAGATTGTGATCCCGGTAGATGCTTGAATTATATCAATTAGGCCATCATGGCAAGTTTTCATGGAGACGTGATCAATCCAAATATCCTGAGAACCGAAGATGGAAATTCCATCCCCGTCACTAGCAGATCTGAATCCATAATGGTCGACCGAGTCCCTAATAAGACCACCACTACCCATATGAATGTCATGAATGTGAATGCCGTGGATGATAATATTCTTCACGAATTGAACAGTGATCCCGGCACCATAAGCGATGTGGACTTCAGCACCACGTCCATCGATTGTTTTGTCACTATTCATGATAAGTTCTTGGTTAAGCTTAATAACCATGCTTTGCTTGAATATGATCCACAATGGTTCCTTTTGGATCACTGCGTGACGTAGGGTTCCAGGTTTGGGATTCACCATATCATTGTCGGATGAATCGGTGACAACATAGAATCGCCCTGACTTTCCACCTTTGGCGTTGTGACCGAACCCAAGCCCACAATCCGCCAGCCTCTTCCGATTATCGGACCAATTGGGTTGGCATCTCCAGCACCTGTCAATTGGGTTGGTCACCATGCATGGCCCCGTATATTTCTTCCTTAGTCCCCTCCTCGTGCTATTTGGTTCCAATGCACCTAGTTCCTTTAAGGTCCTGCACGATCATCATTAATTTGCAAATCAACAAGAGAATCATCGTATAAATAGAAAACAAAAATGAACCCACCTATGGACATTTGTATTCAAATGAGTTACAATCTTTACTGGATCTGGCTCGTAGGACTCGAGGGTTCGGTTCCAGGATTCTTGAGCCCGCCTCTCCCATACGTCGTCGATTTGAGCCTTAAGCGTGGGAATAAATGCAGCAAATGCAATAAACAATATGAGAGAAATTCTATTCATTTTTAATCCCTCCATTGTTTAATTCTTAATGGATAAATGTGCTGCATCCAATATTATTCTTATTCGTGCTGGGTCGAACCCTTATGCTCTTTGGGTTCAGACCCTTGCTCGAACCACACTATATTGTCAAATAAATTCCTTATTATTTCTCATTTGTGAAAGCATTGCTTAAATACTAGAATTGTTTAACAAAACATCCGTACTTTGCGAACAATGGGGAGGGCCACTCCTTCCTATGGTGGTTACACATATTTCTGCATCTGTCATGCCATAATTTTATGAACTACATGCCTTACTTTGTGGTTCATATGTTAAAAAGGGATTAATTTTTAATTTTAATTTTAATACACGGTGGTGAATTTTTGGATTATTAAAATATATCCTATTGTTGTGGGCCACACACTTGAGGGCTGGTTACTATTTGTGTACATGCCACAAACCAAATTGTTGATCTGGTTTCATTTCTTTATGTACTACTTTGGATATGTTATCTTCACTTTCTATGATTCAACCCAACTTTCTTTTCTTCAATTTCAAGAATTCTAAAAAGGTTTTGTATCGATCCGATAAAAATAAAATAGACTCAAAATTCTCCATTAATATGACATGCTATTTTTTTCAGTCAGATCGTACGTCCCTTTTCCAAGATACTTTATTTGATGGAAAAAGCCAAACAATCCGCGAGGATGACTTCACAAGTGATTGTGCCCACACGTGCCTATCGTGGAGTCCCCCGTGAATAAAATAATCCCGACCCTATGTGTGTGTATTGTGTCAACTCCTTGATCATCCATGTGGGCAATGTAGCACGGCTCTTATTTGATTAGCTGGGAGTTCATTGAGACCCCACCTAAATAGACTTGGAAAAAATTTTGAAAAAAAGGAAAAAAAATCAAGGCCACGACAAGAGGCGAACTATTTAGAAATTGCTACAAAATTAGCTTGATTAACTAGCTAAACTAACCAAAATTGAACACTTCTTAGCAATGCTAGTTCATTGATTTTCATTGAGACATTTTTTATAAATTAGACCCCAAAATTATAGTATGCATGTAAAAATTATAAGTATATCATGGAGTTAATGACTAACTTGTTAATTATAAAACTTAATAATAAAACAATAGAAACAAATGAATTTCTCCCCTACGTTTTTCTCGAAATACAACTTTAATTCCAATTTGATTTGCCCTTCTTGTCAGTTTATTCATGACAATAGAAAAATTCTATTTTTCTATGATCTTTGAGAAATGAAACAAATCCTTATAAAAGGTCGATAGTACCATCAATATCCATTTTTTCGAGTTGAAGAAATTTACTCATAATATTAACTATATGCAACAATATGTATCAAATTACGATGCCAAGCAAGAACTCATAATTTTGAAGTTCATATGTTAATAAAGACTTGATTTCACTCTTTATTTTAGGATTTTTGTCAACTTCTGCCAAGTCGAGTAAAACGTCTCTTATTTTAAACAAATAAATCAAATACTATCTATGTAATGATCAAGTTGAGTAGAATTAAAAAATCATTGTAACATGAGTTTTAGAAATGAAAAATTTTATAAATAAGAATTTAAGTTTTAGAAATGAAAAATTTTATAAATAAGAATTTAAGTATCACACATTTCATAATTAATAAAACAAGTTTCAAACTTCAAAAATGAGATTTTTATTTAAATTTATTTATGATTTAATTGATTAATTAATTATTTTACTAATTAAATATATTTAAATCACAGATTTATATAATTTGGTCATAAATTAATGATTCAGTTTGTCACTTATTATTTTTTTTTCACAAATCAAAAATTTATGTTACAAATTGTTTTACGATCAAATTCAAAAATTTTATAAGTCACAGTTCGTTCATCGATCATAAATCAAAAAATTTATAAATCACGATTCATTTATTGATCACAAATCACAAATATTATAAATCATAACTTATTATACAGTCATAAGTTATCAAATTACCGGTCACATATTAATAAATTTTTAAGTCACATTATTTTTTTATCACAAATTATCTTTTTTATTGGTCATAATGTTTATTAGTCGGGGCTAACCAATTCAATTGTCACAATCAACCAAATAATTGGTGACCACCATCGCGACCACCACCAACACGGCCTTTCAATCCACAACCACAGTCATCCACAGTCCGAACAACAAAACCATTATCTCAAGCACCACAGCCGCCGCTACCACCGCCACATACATCCAACAAAGCTATCGTCATCCAAACACCATCACCATTAGCACCACCACCGGCCTTACCCACAAACTGAAATACACCCAAATAATTGTGATTTTTGAACCACATGCCACCACAAACCATCGCACAACCACCACCACAATCTCAGCCAACATCAACCACCACCATCCAAACGTCACAAAAAAGAAGAGTTTTAAATCTACCCAAATTAGAGCTGTGCACCATCGACGACGATAGATAGTGAAGAGCATCACCACTATTTCAACAAACCGCCACCCATACCACCCCCACCTCACCATCTCCGCCAACACCACCACAACCACACATGATCGATTTCATACACAAAACCCACACAAATCAGCAAACGCCTACCATAGATTGCCACCTATGCCAACAACCATTGTAACCACCACCACCATCTCCATTACTCCACAACCACTATACCCACGAAAAATTCCCAAAACCAGTTGACAACTACCACTGTATCCCCACTGGTTTAAAACCAGATCTAAGAAATGAGGTGGTTCCGACGCCAGACGAAGATGAAGGCAATGGTTCTGGTGCCGGATGAGAGAAAGGCCGTGGGAACGTTGAGGAGAAAACGAGGGAGAGGTAGTGAGTGAATATGAGTGATTTTTAGGGTTTGTATGAAAATTGGGAATTAATTTTATTATTAATATTGAATCAACATCTAATTTTTGTATAAACAAATTTCAGATCCAGTTTATGAAATTGGATCTTGAAAGATATAGTTAAGTATAATTTCCACTTTTAGAAATCATAAGTTACTTTCCTCTTCTGTTACTTCAGAAATGGGCCTAATTTAGAAATAAAATTCCGATAATGGAAAACACTTTATTTATAAATGGAATAGAATGGGCCTAATTACCAATTTTTTAATAAAAAAATCGTAGTGAGCCTAATTTACCAAAAAAATGAAGAATGAAATATGCTAAAATTTGAGGACCCCAATGTTGAGCCAGAGGTGCGGGCCTCACTGGCCGCCATGCAAAAACGGCCCTGCTTCTTAGCTTGTGCCAACCGATCAAGCTTGGCTCGAGTAAAATGATAGTCAACAAAGATGTTAGGAAAGTCATGGACGAAATCATAGTGCGACTACCAGACCGCAAATCACAAACAAAAGTGAAACACTTTCTTGATTTTCTGTGTCTTGTCTTCATAATTGAAATTTTAAAACAAAGAATCAGAAGAAACAGGTAAAATTTCAAACTTTAGTAAGCAAATCCTGGCAACACTTATTCTCACATCTTTTACCATATTAAGCAAAAATTCTTTCTTCAATACAGTTATTTACTCAAACTTTGGCTTACTTCCATTGCAATGCACTTCTTTATTCTCCCTGTGCTCTTTTCCAGAAAACCAGGCAGAAAATTTCAAGCCATTGATTAAGATACCTGCAGTGTCAACTTTATTTAGAATGTAAATAGTACATAAGATTTCATTTTTCCTCTCAGAATGGAGTGACATTTAAGTCTACTAATCTAGGTTCAGTAGGTCTAAAACCAATTAGTCAAAAAGGACATTGCCACATCATGGAATCAACTTTCACTGTTGATGACTAATGATCATGATGAAAGAGTGATGTAATTTACCGAGGAATTAGTCCAGCGGTATGAAGATCGAAGAAGCTTATGCAATAAAGCAATCTCCCACTTTTTCCCTTCGGAAATGCATATATAGGCTCAACAACAGAGGTTTTCAAAATAGTGAGAACCATGATAACCTTAACCGATGTCTACCATGTTATTGCTGCAATTGTCCCATTGTACGTTGCCATGATCGCAGCCTATGTTTCTCTTAAATGGTGGAAGCTGTTTACACCAGATCAATACAGTGGAATCAACAAGTTCGTGGCAAAATTTTCGATCCCTCTTTTGTCTTTCCAAGTGATCTCAACAAACAATCCCTACAAAATGAACTGGAAACTTGCATGTGCAGATTTCCTTCAAAAGCTTCTTGCTTTCATCCCACTGGCAGTAGTCGCCAAAATAAGATCCCGAGGAAGCCTGAGTTGGGTTATAACAGGTCTTTCTTTGTCAACATTGCCTAATACACTAATTTTAGGAATCCCACTGTTAAAGGCAATGTATGGGGATGAAGCAGTAATGATCCTTACCCAGATAGTTGTATTACAAAGCATAATTTGGAATAATCTTTTGTTAATTCTCTATGAGGTTGAAGCCACAAAAGAATCCTATGTGACAACAACATCAGACGTTACAGGTACGTACAACGAACTTTTAAGCTTTTTCACTTTGAACTATTTATTTGGGCCCAGCAGCTTTCAGTTTTCCCATATCTTAGATGATACGTGCATAAACTAACGCCAAAATAGACAGAAACGTAACATTAATTTGTATCCGAGTCAGTTTTTCCATTTCATCTCGCCTAGGAACATGGATAGACTGAAAGAGTGAATCAAATATTAGTACAGAGGAAAGAGTTACGAGCAATAACAAGGGGTCGTTGATATATTGTATTTGCATTCCATTCATTCGATGGAACCACAAACCTTTCTTCTAAGAAAGGTACCCCAAAGAACTCTGGCCTATTACCTTCAAGGCACACTCTGTAGCTTTGGTGTTGGGCAAATTTGTCTAGAAATATAATTCCCTTTCAATATTTGACACTTCCAGCTTTCTACCTCTTCAGGGTTCTATCTTCGCCTCCCCAGTAAGCGAATACCTTTCTGCATTGAAAAACATGACTAGTTAAAACCATAAGCCCTGCTACATGAACAGGGATTTTGCCAGGGTTCATTGCTAGGTACACTTGTCAATTTTTCATTGGCAGCTGGCAAAAAAAGAAAAAGAAAAATACCAATCGGTTTTGTGCTGGCAGCATCTGTACACTGTGTGGCAGAAAAACCGTTGTACAAGGCAAATAACTCTAAAATCATATATCAGGTCCTCCTTAAAAGCACACCTTATTAAGGGGATAGATAGTTACATGTAATAGGCCTGCACCAGACCGTGGTGATGATTTTGCTGCACATAATTCCGAGAGTAACATCAAAGGATCATTCGACGAACAATATTTTTTCATAGTGGAACAGCGAAGAAAGGTGTATTGGCTTTGCTATTTCCAAAAGTTCAGATATTCTAGAGAATGCAAGAATCTTCGAGACAACTCCTCCTTTCTTGTTCAATCAGGAATAAATGAACTGAAGTCCTTATGAATTGCCCTTCTCCCATTTCAATTCCAAGCTCCTACTTGGATGTCACCATGCATGAACCATATGTTCTACTCTGTCATTTGTTTTCTTTCTCATTATTTGAAAAGCATGACAAATCTTTCTTTGAAGAATTGGAGGCCCCACAAGGAGTAGAACCAAAAGCTGAAGGCAGTGAAGATGTACAAATTAGAAATCCAAGAAAAGCAAAAATCTTGGGCATTCTTTCGACAGTCGGAAGAAGGCTAATTATCAATCCCAATACTCATGCCACCTTGACAGGTCTTATATGGGCTAGCATACACTTCAGGTAATAAGAGAACACAATCAATGAGAAAATTCTACACAACATTGTATATAAGATTTGTCACTGCAGGTGGGGAGTAAAGTTTCCAAAAGTGGTTGAGAATTCGATATCAATATTGGCAGATGGAGGACTGGGAATGGCTATGTTCAGCTTAGGCCTCTTCATGGCATCACAAGCTAGTGTGATAGCATGTGGAGCCCGGAAAGCAGTATTCGCCATGGTAATGAAATTTGTAGCTGGACCAGGCCTCATGGCAGTGTCCGCAATAACACTCAAATTAAGAGGAACTTTACTCAAAGTGGCAATAGTGCAGGTACACAAGTATTTCTTTTAAAAAACTTAGCACATAGACGTAAATTTATTGATGTATCGTGTGATGCAGGCAGCTCTACCTCAAGGGATAGTTCCATTCGTATTTGCTAAAGAATATAACATACATCCGGCCATACTCAGCACAGGGTACCAAATAGTCCCTTTGTATTTTAACAAGTGTAACTTCTCAGAAACCATATATATTTTAAAACTCGACTTTCTTTCTGTTTGTAGGGTAGTCTTTGGTTTGCTGATAGCTGTGCCAATTGCATTAGCCTACTACTTCCTGTTGGCATTATAAACAAGGTATTGATAACACAAGATTCATCTCGTGCCCCATAATGGAAATGAGATATCTTGCCCACTAGTCTTGCCACCTCACGGTGGGTAACATATTTCCTGCTCATTATGAGTGGGAGAGCAGTCCTGGTTGATAACATTACCTTTAAGTAAATGTATGGCTTTATAGCATGAGATGTAACTAAAAATTTTCTTGCAGCGTCACGTATTTCATTAGGAACTAACAATGAAGTAAAGAAGAAAACTCGGGAAAGAATGGGAAACGCAAGTTACAGTACTGAAGACATCAACTGGCTGATACTCGAGCGGTCGCCTTGCTGTTGTCACTTGATTTTACAGTATTGAAGTCATCAACTTTATATTTTGAAATCAGATTAGTTATTAGCAAAATAATACATAGAAGATGATATGCACATGTAATGGAATCAGTTCCACCACCCAATTTGTAGTTTCAAGCATCTAACAATGAAACATGCCACCATGCAAATGTGCAAACCATGTTGTTCCTATTAAAAAGAATGCAAAAGTTGTGCAATATGTTCGGACTAATAGTTCGATAGCCAGATATTCTAGAATGCACAAGTCGTGCAATTTTGATATAGGTGCATTTATATTATTTATCTTCAATTTGGTGCAATCAATTCATCCAACAGCAATTTGTTGCAGATGTGGTCATTTTGTCTAGTACTGTTAGTTTAATTAATGAAATATAATGATCTTGATTAAAAATAATGAGTAGTCGATGTATAAAAATGTGTTTTGTTGTGTGACATGGACATGTATGATAATCATAAGTTAATTTTATCTCCAAGTCAGCATATAATATTAGCTTAATTGATTGTACAATTCATAAAATGATCAAATTTGCAAGCTAATCAAAATTAAGTAACTTAATTGCACTAAATGAAAGATGAGTGATTAAAACTATAAACAAATATAAATTGAGTTATTTGATTGCACCAAATTAAGTGTTTGTTTGTTATGGATTAAAAGTTAATTAAAATTATTTTTTTGATCGTTATTTCACTATTTTAGTTGTCATTTTTGAATTTTTTTCTCCCAGAATCCACTTTATCTCTAACAGTCAAAAAATCAATTATCAAAATCCCTACCAAACAAGTTTTAAAAATGAATGATATACGTATGCTCATAATTGGATGACACACCGTGCATTAATTTTCCTTCACAGAAAACATTGACTTGTTTTTTCTAATTTCGAATTTAAAAAACTTAATTTTGAAAGCAATTTCTTGAGGAACAATTCACCTTACGATATCTTATTACCCAAGAAAGTAAATCCTCAGCCCAATTTCTGTTTTTTCTTATTACCCAAGTAGATTAATTAGTAAATCCCCAAAGTACCCATCAAAGTGAAGAACATTTGGTCAAAAAACTATAGCCGTCAGCATATTATCCACGTTGCCACACCATCATTAGTAAATCCCCAAAGTACCCCTCAAAGTGAAGAACATTTGGTCAAAAAACTATAGCCGTCAGCATATTATCCACGTTGCCACACCATCATTAGTAAATCCCCAAAGTACCCCTCAAAGTGAAGAACATTTGGTCAAAAAACTATAGCCGTCAGCATATTATCCACGTTGCCACACCATCATTAGTAAATCCCCAAAGTACCCCTCAAAATGAAGAACAAAATGAGATGTATCTCGCATTCCAACACATAAAGCAACGGCCCGGATACAACCGCGCACCCTTTCCTACCCCATCGACCGCCCAGATTCCACAAAAAACACAGTGCACACCCTTTACTATATATAGACCAAAAATTACGGCGTTATTTCAATATATATATTCCTCTCCTCCACACACTCGCTCTCTACATTTTGATTCTGTGGATTTTTTCTCTTCAATTTTAAATCATGGGCAAGGGTCCAGGGCTTTACTCCGACATTGGCAAAAGGGCTCGAGGTTGCGTTCTAAATTTCAACTACGAGTTATTTACTTTTATTTTTTGCGATTTTGTGTCACTTTGGTTTTCAGTGAAATTGTTTTCTGATTTGATATTCGTTTGGAATAGATCTGTTGTACAGGGACTACCAGAGCGACCAGAAGTTCACTATTACCACCTACTCTCCTACTGGAGTTGTGAGTTTTTTTGTTTGTATTTTTTCAATTATGTTTTATACAGATCTGATTAGTTTTTGCTGGAGTTAGGGATTATAATTTTAGATTTACTGAATTTGATTGATTCTTCTTCAATTGATTGTGCCGTGCTGAATTCTTTAAGTAGTATTGATTTCGATAGCTTTGTGAGTTCTTTTATATCTAGGGCGCTTGGATTGTTGACTTTACATGTTTCTTTCGTGGTTTTTAAAGAGATAATGATTGCTAATATACTCTGGGGGTTTTGAGATTACAGGAATGGGGTATAAAGGTCTTGTCTTTCTGTCAGTATCGACATAGACACCTGCTTTAGAATCTTATACGCTACTTTTTTTTCACCACATTTGCTTGTTATTGGAATTTCCAATTGAACGTACAATTTATTTTATACTTGGAGCATTTTCAATATAAAATCTTCTGGTCTAAAATAATAAACAACTACATGAAACTGTCGAATGTTTTTTTTTTTGGTTATGATATTTTCTTCACCATTCTTTGCTTCTTGTTTTTTTATTCTTTATTTATTCAATTCAATTGCTTTCCTTTTGCTCTTTGTTGAACGGATAGATGTGATGTTGGATTTATCTGACTTACTAATTTTTTCCTCCTCCTAAGTATATCTTGAAGGCAGTTCGGTATGCACTGTTGAACACTTGTATGGAATGTGATTTATAGATTAGATTTTGTAAGTCTATTGGCTATCATAGTGTTCAGATCTGATTGCAGCCATTATCATTTATGGATGGATGCTATGTCTTGATATCGTTATGATTATTGTACGACCTCATAATTTTGAACAAGTGTTCGTTTATTTTCTCCAATTGCAGGCCCTCACTTCAACAGGAACAAAGAAAGGGGAACTGTTTTTGGCTGATATCAATGCTCAGTTGAAGAACAAGAATATCACGACTGATGTTAAAGTTGATACAAGCTCCAATGTACGTTTTATCAGTATTCTTATCATCTTGTGTTTTGCAATATATTGAAGTTTCATTTCCTTGTAGCAATGTTAAGCTCAGATTTCTTATTCTTATTGTGCTTATACTGACATTTCTTGCATATTAATAAATACTGTTAAATGGATTTATGCTTTTGTGAATTATATAACTGACTTTTGAAGCCATTGCCAGCTCTTTACCACCGTTACAATTGATGAACCTGCTCCTGGGTTAAAGGCCATTTTGAACTTTAGAGTACCCGATCAAAGGTCTGGAAAGGTGAGGTGTTTTGTGTTTAATGTTTTAACACATGCTTGTCATGCGTAAGTTACCTCTAATATTTTGTCATAACCTCAACGGCAGTTGGAAGTGCAATATTTGCATGAGCATGCAGGGATAAGCTCAAGCATT